TAGCACAAGATCCAACAATTTAACTTCAGAATGTACATATCTACCAGGAGCAACTGTCCTCTTTGTTAAACCACCAAAATGATATCACCAGAGAGAGAATCTATTGGATTTGATTAGTAATATGACCTCTAAAGCCAGGATATATCACATTCTTTGTGTAGTTAATTAATATTCTTTCATTCATCAGCCTACTACATCTTAAAACCCTGAAAATGAACACCTTGTTTTATGAATTGCTCTAACACTCATGCATATCATCTCAAAGACACTATTTCAATATATAGTCTCCATGTATCACTAATATATTGCTTCACTTATACCTCCAGAAGATACTACTTTTTCAAAAATGGCCCAATGTCAACCTCTCATTATTACCAGCTATATTAAATTTCTCTAGAGATCAGAGGATGACACAGATTATAAGAGCTATTATACAAATTCCATCTGCCACAAAACATCATTACCCGACATGCCATCCATAACTATTTCAATAAATATTCTTTAGCACATTCTACCCCAATTCTCTTATATAATTGCTCTTTAGAAATCAACAAGACTTAAAGCAGCATTAAAGCCTTTTAAACTATTTCTCTTCTCTTGTTTTGTTCTGCCTTCTTCCATGAATAGGTTCTATGCTGCATTTGGCTTTTGGCCCAGATGCGAAGTGCTTACATTTATCTCAGATAACAGCCATCTGATGCATTTCAAGTAATTGAGACTGCTTTTTAAAGGCTTTATCTGTGATAAACTGCTTTATAGATTATGTACATTTTTCTCATTTATTTCTGTCTCTCTTGTAATTACCATAATTGTTTTTACCCTCAAGCAATGAGGAAAAATATCAGGTTCCATATTATGAAACCCAATAAATGTAAGAAGACTGCATATTCTAAGAAGTACTATGAGTAAAGGTATGGGCTAGAGGGCAAATATAGATTCTCTTTAATTCTGGACCTGTTTTTAACTTGCTAACCCAAGTAAAACCCAGTCATGACGTTTCCTATTTCAAAGGTTGGTAGAAAGATGACTATTAATAAATATGCAGAGCTTAAAGCTCTTAGTCACTTCATTTGGAATAGATTAAAGCATTTTCCTCAGAGCAGGGTGTTCCATACCATTTCGGAGACAGAATCATCCTTCAAAGGGCTATGTCTGAGGCAGGCCAGACTATGAACTAACTGAAAAGAAGCCTTCTGGTCCTGGTTCAACTTGGTTACC